GATATCTACCAGCAGAAGTATGTACTAGAGAGCAAAGACGGCATGCTATCTATGCATGCAGTTTAACCACTACATCCACAGTCCAAAAATAATGAGACATAAAATTGATTTCCTCCATTATGGTAAGGACTAAAACAACTGCAAGCAAAGTAGTCGACGGACAACATCCCAGATTCCGGAAAGCGCTAGCAAGGCGGGCCGCCAGGAAGGTCCCTCCTCCATTGAAGGTGTGTGTCAAAAAGCGACAGCGCTATCGCCCAGGAACTGTGGCTCTACGAGAAATTCGAAGGTACCAGAAGTCAACCGATCTCCTAATCAGGAGACTGCCCTTTTAGCGTCTTGTTCGAGACATACTTCTGATATTAGAAAAGACATCAGGTTCCAAGGGTCTGCAATGGAAGCTCTCCAGCAAGCATCAGAAGCCCATCTTGTGGACATCTTCCAATGTTCCAACCTTTGTGCTATCTCATGCCAAGAGAATCACCATCATGCCAAAAGATATCCGGCTAGCCAGGAGGAATTCGAGGTGGAAGGTTTTAGGTACTATTTTAGACCTGAAAAATTAACGTATAAGATAACATGTGTTCTTCTTTGTTGCCTTCTTTCGTGCATACCCATATGTCTTTTGTCAGTGTCAGCTTGACTGTTTTTTGGTTTGCATGAGGGCGTAATTGTTTCTTTTCGTGTACTTTGTGAATGTGACAACTCCTCTTCTAGGACGGTTAACCTGTGGTTATAAATATATATAGGTATACATATATAGATAGTAGTATACCTGGTCTGTGCAAGGATCGAATCATTCGCCTGCCATCCCTGTCATGCAACTCGGGTCACATACATTCTGCGGCCTGTTCGAACTCATTACTTAGCCAAAACTCTGGGAGTTCACTCTGCCCCTTCTGTAGAGTGAAACTACAGAGCAAATTCATTGTTTGGCAGAGTTTTTCGTTTCCAGTGAAAGGAGAAGGAGAGAGCCTACTGTGTAGTGCCACCCTTGAGGTGTGCAGCTAGCCTCAGTGAAGGCCAAGAACAACAGGCCCATCAAGTTTGGCTATACAGATATCAAGTTTGCCCATGATACGTATTGTAATAGTGCAAGAGAAGTGAGAGAAAAGCAACCCGAGAAAAGTACTCAAGTATTGACCAGAGGTGCGCTGAGCCTCATATAAAGGCAAGGCAACAGAGCTAACAGTCAAGTTTCGCTCCGCGGTTTGCGCGCAACACCTCAAAGTGCAACTTGACGGGACGATCGATTGAAGCCAAGCCAAGCACACCCGCGTTGAGAGCACAGCTAGCCGGTCCATATTGGTGCTTGAACCAAGCCAATCCGACAAGAATTGAAGGAGTAGTGGCCGTTCGAGTGATTCAGGTACCCACCGTACAAGCAAAAGCCGATTGACGCGATCAAAGCTATCGACTGAACCAACAGAGATACACCAAGATGCCTATACAGAGATCAAAAGAAGCCATCTAGCCGCTTATGCAGCCATTAGCGACAGCCTCCAGTTCCAAATATTCATCGAGGTACATCCAATCGAGTTAACAGCTGCTGAAGCGAAGCCGTGGGAGTCACACATCCCAACCAAGTGCCAAAGACTGAATCTCCAAGAGGAAGCTGTTCCAGTCCATGCAACTGCTACAACAACTCTATCTAGCACCAATACAAGCATCTACAACAAGAGAAGCCCTCAGAGTGGCCCATAGAGCAAGTTCGCCAGTATCATCAAGCCCAAACGGTGGATTTTTCGTGTTGACCACCAGATCCACGAAGCCACACGACGACGCAATGATTTTCGAGCCGACAAGTCCACAGAAGACAGCTCACAGGAGTGAGCGCCGATAGAGGATCAGTCCTACAAGCAAGCATAACATTCCAGGAAGGAACTAGCGAATACACCGCCAAGGCACGGGAGTCACAGCGAGCGAACGAACGGCGCCACCGCTACCGTTCCAAGAAACAAGAAGAGAAGCAAGCCTCGCACGAAGGTCAAGAGAAGATCAACCAAGAGCAGTGCCGACACGGAATTCAAGCAGCAACAGGAGGGTCGACAGCAGTGAGTGCCAACGCGACAGGTACAAGAGGAAGCTCAAAGGAGTGAACGAGCGCAGAAGCAAGATAGTACCTGGTACGGGCAATTCAGCTCGCAGGAGTGGACAGAGAACCAAAAGGCAATCAAAAGCAATCAAGCGCAGTGAAAGTGTGAACGACCAAGAAAAGAAAAGGTAAAGCAAGAGTTGACGCCAACCACAAGATCAAGCTCACAGCTCACAGGAGTGAGCAGACAAACAAATCAAGACGACGGGAACATCCTCCTAAATAAACATCCTCTTAAAACATCCTCTTGAAGCTTCAGCATCCTCTTAAAATTAAACATCCTCGTTTTAATAATCTTCAACATCCTCTAACAAAAACGAGGAACGGTCGGACAGTCTGGTACCGATAGGGTGTGCGGTTTGGAGTGGAGTGGTGTACATACATACTAGTAGTACACTGTAGTGAGAGAGTGCTGGGAAGGGGACCAATTTTGGAATGTGGGGACCAATTTTGGAATGTGGGGACCAATTTTGGAATATGGGGACCATTTTTGGAATGGTGGAGGTGGCAGGTGAACCGGAAACGGGACTAACTGGCGGTAACTATTTATGCACGTGCTGGCATGGCCATAATATGGTTGCCAAAGGCACCCATCCCACTTGCTCTCATTTCAAACTCGTGTCAAACTGGTTTCAAACTCTCTGATGTTTTTTTCTAAGTAGCCATCATTCCTCATGAGTGGAAGTCTTCGCGTCGTTGCCTTTTCACGTCGTTGGCGTTGGCGTCATGCACCGTGAAAGAGGTGGGGGCTCCGCGGAAGCAGTGATCGATCCACCGACATAAGAAGATCGCTCACCGGTTGGTTTTGATAGTGGGTAGTAGCCGCTATTGGTGGCTACCAGTACTTCGAACCTGCTGCTCGGACGGTGCAATTGCCATGGAGTCACGGCTTCTTCTGTCGAAACTATTCCTTCCACAGAGCGATAATCTACTTCTTCTTCTGTAACCCAACCCCGTGCCAAGACGGGAATGTTATGATCAGTGCGGTATCAACAACTTCATCCTCTCCTCAACAACTCTTGGCCAGACAGATCCCATCTCATTTTCAATGGAGCCCAAGCACAGCAAGATGCCGCCTTGGACTAACGATGCAACCAAAACATCCCTCGTTTGGAAACAGGACTGAATGCACGTGGCTACACTGAAGAGCAAGACAATGCTGGAAGCTGCCTTGATTCACTGACATCTCTGTAGATGGCAAGCTGCTGATAGCTGGCGTTCTTCTCGCTCCACTAGGAAAAGAGCTTTTACCTAGTAGCTAAGGAATCAACAAAAGCAATCGAGGGACCGCCAATCAGATTTCATCGGACAGACCATGGAAGCGTCACCACACAGCAGCCGCCGAGAGCAGGGGCGTTCTTGGAGATTTTTCGTTCTTGTAGTAGGCATCAGAGCCCACATCCAGGTTGGCTGCCATCCAACTTCGAACGCAACTCGAGCTTCTTGCCGCGTAGCACTCATTCGCAGCATCACCGTCGTTGCATCCTTCTCTAAAGCGACGAGAACAGAGAACAAGTGTCAGCGAAAGTGCGAGTAATTGTGATGGGGACAGCAAACTGGCCACCAGTAGGGACTGGTCACCTGCAGCATTTGGTGCACGGGACCCTCCGTCGAAAATGTGGTGTCGGATCGGTTTACCAGTCTCGGCAACAGTTTGGACAGGATCTGAGGTTCAAGGCAGCTTTCAGCCAGATCGATTACGCAGACGCTAACGCCGCCGCATCCTAGGGTATTGGCTTGTATTTCATGCCATACCGTATGTCATTGTCAGCGAGTACTCAGTTTATGTGCTAGCTAGCTAGTGGCAAAAATCGGAACGCTTCAAAAAGTTGCCAGGGTGAAAGGGCCCGAAATCGTGATTTACAACAGTACGTCTTTCGCGACTTCAACCACTCTTCGCGACTTCCACGATCGCCAATGGGGGGACTTCGGGGAAGGTGATCAAGCCTCTCGCCGACAGTTGGGATCGGGAAGGTTTTCTGGCTGGGCCCAGATAAAGTCTAAAGATTGTACTGGTCGGTCCATTGTACTGGTGGGGCCATGCCTAGCTAGCTAGCACACAGTTTGGAGCCAAACAGGTTTCTTTCTTCTTCCTACTACATGTACCAGAGTAGCTACTGTAGCTAGCTAGCCTACCGGTATTTTAATAGACAGAATCGATTGAATCGAATTGAATGGTAATCGAATGATGTTATCTGAGGGGCAAGCTCAATTATTTGACTGCTTGATAGCTAGCTAGCTGGTAGCTAGCTAGCTATTTAATAGCAGCTACAACTGCAATACAGGTTACAGGTAGCCAGATGACCAGGACCGTCCAACAGTTTTCAATCAGGCTTTAAAAACAAAATTGAAATTCCCACGACTGATGACGGTTTAAAACATGCCCTTAAACAACCCCTTTAAGCTTCAGCATGCCCTTAAACATGCCCTTAAATAAACATGCCCTTAAAACATGCCCCTAATGCCTCAAAACATGCCCTTAAGCCTTCGTTGAGACACCATAGAACATGCCCTTATCACGAATGAACATGCCCTTAAATAAACATGCCCTTAAAACATGCCCTTAAAATGGGAACCAGTCATGGCAGTTTTTTAAAGCCTGAGCGAAAACCGTCGAACGGTCCAGGTCGAGCAGTACCATCGCTGATGAGATCTGGCATAATCAGAGCTCTGCGGTGTTAGATTCAAATCTCCGAAAAGGCGGGTCGACTCGGACGACTACAAGGCAACTGTGGCTGCTCCTTGCTTTGGCAAGATCGATATCGGCAGCTTATCGGCACACAATTCGAGCAACTCCATTGCCTAACAGCAAATTGCTCCACTTCTCCTCTGTCTCTATCTGACAGCATCCTTGCAAGCTTTGTGCTTGTATCATTGTTGTGAAATCTTCTTCCAGCTTGTCGAGATGTCTGCTCCCCCTGGAGCGAACGGATTGAGCGGCAGTGCCTCCGGTGCTGATTGTGGTCGTGTTGGTGTTGCTAGTGGATCGGGTGGTCGTATGACAGCAGCGACTGTCGGTGTTCGCTCTGGTACCATCACTATTACTGGATCATCTACCAGTGCTGGTGCTATTGCTGATGGGTCAGGAGTCACAGTCAATGCTCCTCGTTTCCAGCCGGGAAACGTTGTGGTACGTACTGTAAAGAAGAGATCGAGATCGAGATCCAGCGTGCACCACGATTGAATTCCCTTTTTCATCCTTGTTGTATTAATAACCAATGCTCTTTTTCAACAATACCGTATCATACCATATACAGGTGCAACAGCCACATGGTGCTACGACACCTTGGCCTGCCCATCAGCCATATCCTCCTTATGGCTATGCATATGGATGGCCAGCCCCTACCCCAGCCCCTGTGGTGCATCACCACCAATACAACATTTCGGGAGGCATTTATGGTGGAGCCACTGTTTCGTTCGGGGCTGCCAAGAAGCAGTCCCAAAGCAGTGACTCGTCTGTGGCCTCCAGAGGATCCGATTCGTCCCAAGACAGTGAGAAACTGACGGCCGCGGCGGTCCTGAAAATTGTTCGTGACCAAGACATTATCAAGAAAGTCAAACAGGTCATCCGAGAGAAATGGGCTATGCACGCGGAGTTTGTTGGCCAGATGGAACGACTTGTTCAATTGCAAGCTGGGCTTGATCTGTCCGATGAAGCTCGTGAGAATGTCCAAGAGATGGATGCTCTCATTCGAGCGTATCACAATCGTCTCAATGAGCCCGACGACGCGGACGCTGGACAGGATTGATTCTGCCGCAGCAACAAAGAAGACTCTGTGTGACTGTATTGTCCCGACCACGCACTGGCAAGCATGAAGATGAATGGATGAATGGATGGATGAATCTAGCAATGGGAACGACCGACAAGATAGAATGGTGTGTCTCGCTGTCACTTTAGTACCACGTAACCAAATAATATTGATTGTAACCGCAAGTATAATGTACAGTCGTAGCGTAACGTAGCAATACAGTCAGGCGGAGGATAGTCCCAGCATCAGCGCATGTCGAAATTCATGTTCGAGTTTTTGCTACGGTAGATTGACTGCAGCATCAACAGGAGCTGGAACGACAGTAAGCACGGGCACACGGAGTCGGCAACGTTTCTGTGTTCGAGAACTTGAATCGTCAACGTGCTACACGACATGACCCAACTCGAAACCGTCAATCCAAGAAATCATGCAGCGGTTTGCCTGGAACTGGTATACTTTGTACTATATTCTCAGCGGGCATAGTGCTTGGACATGAGCACGGACTTGGACATGTCACAGCTAATAGATTGGCTCAATCCTTCAAGTAGCGTAGCAATACAGTCAGGCGGTGTGTGTGTCGCAAACGCTCCTGTTTGCCCCGTACCGTAGGAAGGGTCACCGCACTACTACGATACATCGTACAAACCTGTGTGGTTCGGTTCGATGAGGGAGCATTGGCTGATTCATTCAATCATTCACACCATCACAAGTATTCGTGACGATGGCGCAAAGTGTGATGATAGGGCGAGGGTTCCATTGGTACCTCCCGAGCCCCAGGAGCACTAGCCACACTGGCTAGCTTTCTTGAGAGCTTGCTTGTGTAGCGGTTGTAAAAAGCAACCTTACACGTGACGGTCTGCGTCCTGGGAACCGGTAAGGAAATCCTTGGTGGAAGACTCCGAAGGCTAGCAAGCCCGTCACTCCTTCTTCCTGTAACCATACTCAATACCGGTACTCTTGCATCCACTCCTGCTTAAAAACGAATATGCACTGGCTCATCTGCACATTTGCCGATGATGCTCGTATCGAGTCTCTTCCTCACGACGAGCTGTATCTTCCGTCGACACCACGTACCGAGCATACAATTTTGGCGGTATCATTGTGCTTCAAAGCGCGTGCATTGACTGTTGACTCCATGCTCCGTACCGGTATGTTCCACGTCTCTCCTGAGGTGCCTTCATCACTCATCACTTGGGGGAACTCAACAGTCGCCAACTCAATGGTACAGTGTACCGGTACGCCAGTACATGGATGGTGGATAGAGGTATGATGTGGTATTGGAAATCAGGCTTCAAGATCTTGAGTCAGAGCTGGTTCTAGTAGTATTAGAGAAGAGATAGATGGCTCTCTAAAAGTACTAGTACCAGCGGTGGGCCCGGGTGTGCATGTGTGCATTGTGGGCCTCATGAAAAAAGTTTTCTTTCTACGGAAAGTAAAAGCAGCTCTGCAGGGTTAGTGTCGATTTGAATTGGACGAAACCGGAACGCTCGTATCCCGTCGTCGGAGCACCGACATAAAAGCGATCGAGCACAATCTGCCATTGCTCTTCTTCTTACACTTGTGTATCCATCTACTAGTACCGTCGCTTCCTTGAGAGTTTGCTTCTATCAACAACCACACGATGTCTGCTCCAGCTCCAGCTCCAGCTCCTGCCCCTGAAGCGAATCGATTGGATGGTCGCGTCTCCGGTGTCGCTCGTGGTGATGGCTTGGGGCACGTTGCTCGTTTTGGAGCCGATGAAGTCGGAAATGGACCTCCTCCGGCTGTTGACGCTCCTCCAGTTCAGCATGACAACGTCCTCGCTCCTGTGCAAACCATCGCAAGATCATTCGAATGCAAGATCAATCGTGTTGGTGCACCACGATTGAACCACCTCGTTGTAACCAATGCTCTTCTTCTTCTTCTTCTTCTTCTTCTTCCAGCCAGGAGACACTCATGGTTGGGGCCAGTACCAGTACGGCATGCCATTGCTTCATGGGCAGCAGAAACCGCCCACAGGATGGACTCCACAGCCACCACAGTACCAACAGAGTGGCTATCTCCAACTTTCCAACTTTATGGCCCCTGCACCTGCCGTGCTGGCCCCTGCACCAGCTCCTCAGCCAATCATCATCAGTGGTATCAGCGACGAAAACAATACCTTCAATATCTCCATCGATGGTGGTGGTAGTCGTCGCAAGAAGAGCAAAAACAAGTCCCGTGCTGAGTCTCTAGACAGCGACTCTGACTCGTCTGATGGCAACTTTTTATCAGTTCCGTCATCTGCCGTTCAAACTACATGTACATGTAACTACAACTGTTTGCCATGGCACTGCACCGGTGCAGCACGAGCGCACACTGCGCATAGCACATCGCCATGCCATCAAGCCCATGCCAGTACAATCGTACTGTAGCATGTCACAAGACCAACCTCGTGTGGTACGGTACTGGCACGGGAACCAGAACTCATGAGAGTATTGGATTCCATTCGATTCGATTGAAACTCTCCACATGTCTCGAGGGCCTGGGTGCAGATTGGTAGCATATCTGAAGCAATTGTTGCCACAGATATACCGGTAGGCGTCAACCCGTGCCTCGAATCGACGCTCGTCCGTACGTCAAGTTGGTTGCTTTGGTCGTCCTCGATGCAGTAACCTTGATGCCACTTACTCCCGTGGCCCCGTACTGTGCTGCCAATGACAGCTTGCCTTTGAGATGGAAGCTTCTCACGATGCCCGTACGTGCCTTCAAGCATTCGTGCTCCGTACGGAGGTTCGACATACATGTAAACGTACCGTACCGGTACCGGTATCCTGAGGTCTCCTTCGTACGTACATCCCGTTCTTTCGACGATTGGATTCAATTCAATTCAATTCAATTCAATTCCTTCCATGCACGGGGCTGTTTCCTTGACGCCGACGGCACTGCTGAAAGGCATAGAGCTGATCTCCTAAAATCCTCGAAATCAAGTGAAATTCCACTTGTCTGCATGCGGATACATCCTGAGGATATAACTCTTCGAATAACATGGCGATGAGACTTGTTCTTGTTGGTGTAGAGAGTTCTTTCCTTCTGACTCTCCAGCCCCAACTCTGGTATTGTCGGCCTCCAGTAGCAATAGCGAGTCTTTTGAGTCATGCGGTGTTGGTCACTAATGATTCTTTTTCGCTTTCCTGTTGAGACTTGTTATCTATGTACCACTACCGGGTACTAGCTACACTCGTAGTATAGTTCCAAAACCTGGGAACTCCTTAGTTGCCAACTATAGTTTTGCCAATATGCCTTCGGCATTCGCAGTCTTCTTGATGACCTTTCCTTCAGCTACTTGTTGCTTCACTGGGCAGGTCTGGATGAGACTGCTGAATTGGATTCAATTCGAATCTTTTTGGAGGTTTGGGTGAGGCCACCACTTACATGCACAAGGATCATATGCATAGATAGGAAGCAGCTATGGACGATATATAGAACTCAGTACTAGCATAGGGCCATCAGTTTTTCTACGGTAGCTTGTGCTATGTATTTACAGAAGAGGCGTACTAGCTTTGTGCCAACAGTTTTTCTAGCTTTATGCTATGTATTTACAGAAGAAGCCATGTATGGAGCGACATGGCTGAAGCTGTTGCTTGCACATATAATGTACATTACCAACTATAGCATGCCCTTGCTTAGCTGTCAGCCACCAAAGATCATTCCCTTTCGATTCTGATAGCCTTTCCATTTGCGCCACCGATCTATATTTCCCACTGAGACCCTCCCTACTAGCTAGACCCACTCATGGCATTCCCGCACGACAATGCTCGCAAAGTTCTTCTCCTCCAAAGACTGATATGGCCTCGGACTGAAGAAGAAATGTAGCATTGTAAACTGATAGTCGCTTTCCATCTTTGCAGGATAGAACCGTCCTTGTCCAGCGGCCCAGGTAGTCTGCCTCAGCCTCCAACACTCTTCCAACGGTGCGGCCCATCACCAGAGATAGAGTCCCTCCTGGCTTGTATTCTCTTAAGTGGATCTGAGGAGTGCTGCCAAAGGTGACCTTCCTGTGGTCAAAGGCCTTCCTCACAGCTGCCTGAATCTTCCGTCTCACACCTGGCTGGTTAGTATCAAGATTGGGCTCCTGAAATCCAGCATAATCGGTTCCTAGCATACCCAAAGTTTTGCAGTCTTCAAAGAGCTCCCCACCATTATCATCGTAAAGTGGGAATCCTCTCTTGTTGTTGAAGATGAATCTCGCCACATGTGGTGGCTTCTTGGCTGGCATAATGTCCCCCACTGGCTCATTTCGAGCCAGCATCCCCTTGATATTGTCCCATGAGTCAAAGTCATCCACTAACGGTGATTCAACTGCCCCAGTAGGCTGGCCTCCGCCCAGCGAGTCCCATAGAACACTTTGTGCCGGGGGAGCCCAGCCCATCTTTAACTACCCCGCCCACCAGGATGCCCCTGTGGGTCCTGGTTGGGTGGGGGTTGTGATGGGGGTTGGGTAGGCTGGGAAAATCCTGGGTGGAATCCGGCATCAGCAAGATACTGTAGTCCATGGTAGGGTGCTGGCTGTGGCTGATGGTAAGGCTGATGGGTAGCTGCTGGGTACAACTGTGCTGGCTGAAGAGAGCGTGGGTCGCTACGAGGGCGCTTGTCATCTTGCTTGAGTAGAGGGGACGTCACGGGAATACCATCTTGAGTTGCAACTGGTACATTTGAAGGTGGTGGTCGCTTCTGGTAGGGATTGCCATGGTAGCCCTGGAGGAAGTCTGGGTGTGTGTAGATATCATTGGTGCCCTGGTGGTGATATTGTCCATGGACTGGAGATTGATGAGGAGTCTGGTAACTTCCATACTGGGGCACAGGCATACCCGGTACAGGAGCATCGTTGGCACCCCCTCCAGGAGGATGTGGTTGTCTGGAGGAAGGAGGGTTGGAGGGGGTGGCCAGATGGTCTTTGCATATTACTGAACAAGGCCATCATCTGCTGAAATCTTGCTTCACTGGCTTCCTGATCCTTTTGGTGCTTTGCCTCCAGCTGTTGCAGTTGTTCTTGGTGTTTCTTCTCCATTCTCTCCATGGCGTCTAATGTGGACTTGGTCTGTTGCTGCATGGCTAATGTGGACTGTGTCTGCTGTTCCACTGCTGCTTTAAGGGCTGCTATTTCTTTGGACTGTGCATCACTAGTAACATCACTGGTTGCCACAGTGGTGGCTGTAGCTGGTACAGAGACATTGGTCACTGGTGCTTGATTCTGTCCCCACTTTGTCTGCCCAAGTAGTAATGATTGCCTCCACTGAAGCAATAGAGGCATCATCTTGATACAGGGTTTGAAAGGAGCGACTGCTGTATGAGTACTGATCCCAAGAATCATCCCTTGGAGTTCTTGGTTGTATTTGAATGACAGAGGGTTCCTCATCTTTCAGGGCATAGTCTTGTGGGAAGATGGTGGCATCTGAGAAGATATCTGTGAGTTTGTCCACCACGGTGTCTCTTGCACTCTTCTGGCAGATGGCATAGTACTGTCCTGCAGTGGCATAGGATTTGTGGCGTTCCAGATCCAACAGCAGGGGCTTGCCATTGGCAGTGACAATCTTCGCTAAGAGCAAAAGACGAATTTCATCCTCAAAGTTTGGATTCAGATCTTGAAGAGGAACACCTGTGGTGGCATTGATGACATCCATATGTTGGATAACTGCCTTCTTCATAAGGTCATGGTGCTTTCTTTGTCTGCTGATCTTGTTCAATTTTGGACTGAGTAGATCCAACTGAGGGTGTTGCAGAGTGGGATCCTTGGCAATGGCTTTCATAAGGTTCTCAAAGGCTGGACGGTCGGTGATTCCCACCTGCCTGGATACCAAGGATGTCAAACTTCTCAGTATCGACCTTGACTTTGGTTGGAACAATGGCAATGGGACAGGTGATGGAAGGCCTCTGCTGACGTAGCCAACTGGATACCCTGGGTAAGAGGCCATCGCGGAAGGTCTTCTTAGGATTCTTCCCGGCAATGTAGCATACTGTGGCAGTTTGGGATTCCTCCAGGCTGTGTGGGCGGAGGAAAAGCTTGTGTTCTTTGAGAAAGGGAACCACTCCTTGAATCTTCTTGAGTGCAGGGACCTGTCGTAATCAGGGCTGTGGACATAGAAGGAACAGGCAAATCGACGAATATAATCATTGATGGGACCCCAGTCCATTACGGAGGCATTCAGCCACTTGACAAGCTGATCGCGGGTCATGTTTCCTAGGGAGTCCAAGTCAATGCCATTGCCCTCAAAATCTCCTATCCCTTCATGATCTTTGAAGGTGACTGAGTACCTGTCATCAGAACACAATAGTGTCAACAGCTGCATAACCAGGGGAATAGGCATTGCTGAGGTTGCTGGATTCATTGCCTCAATACGAACCCCAAAGTAGTGTGTCTTTTGGCTCCTTGCACCATCATTGGCATCCTCAAAGCTTTCCTCGTCGTCATCCCTCATAGGGTCTTCATTGTCGCCATCCTGATTGCCATTGGTGTTGGATTCATCGGTGCTCTCATCTGCGTCAAGAGCCATGGGATTGGCAGCACCAAGTGAGGCAGCAGCAGCATCTTGCTTGGACTCCTGAATGGTCATGGTAGCAATGCCTGGAATTGGGGGAACAGCAGTAACAGGAGCTGGTTCCAGTAGACCCAAGGACGTTGCTCTCTGGTGAATCTCTCTAGGCAATGGACAGTGAGTTCTCTGTAACTCAAGAAGGGAGTTCCTAACACAGACATAAGCAGTGTCATTTGCTGGATTGATGGGAACAAGGAGTGCCAATTCTGTTTCCAGATAAGTGAGTATCTTGTTTGGATCTTTCTTCCACTTGCAGAGGAAACATAATGGGTCTTGAGGTCGAGAGATCGAAACCTGGTGACAGAAGCATCGCTGAAGACTGTTGCATGGTTTGATGGGAAATGTTTGATCTGGTGGCTGTGTGGTCTCTAGCTGCTTGGCGGTGACTGGGCTCTTGGGTGGTGCATCGGTGTAGTTAGTAGCTGGTGCCTCCAATGACTTCTGTTGATCCTGATTGTCACTGGCTGGTAGCAACAGTGTTAAATAGGGGAGCTAGGTGCTTGACTGGAAAGGAGACATCCAGGCTGTCGTGGGACGTTGTTGTGGTGGCTTGCATGGGATCGTGGCACTGAGGGCAAGCAATGGAGCTATCATCAGTCAATTGGCTGGCTGTGTGATCTTCCATCAGTTCCTGTTTCCTAGCAGTATCTTGGAGATGCTTGATTGCTTCCTCGATCTCTTCTTCTGTGGGAGCATCAGCACTGGCCTCCGATGTAGGTCCATTGGGTGATAGGAGGAGTGTTAATGGTGATGTCGAACGGGTATCCATAGCTAAAGGACCGTGCAGTGGAATGGGCTGTTTGCAGTTGGTGCAGTAGGGAGTCTGTTCCATGACTGTT